GGCCTCCCGGAGAGCTAGGATTACAGGCGTGAGCCACCGCGCCCGGCCTGTGGTATATTTCTTGTTGTTTGTCTTACTTTTTCCACATCTATCCATGGAGCAGTCTGTTCATCTAGTTTATTTTTTTTTAAATAACTGTTGATATGTGTCCCAGAATGTTTCCTGTGAATACACTATCACCACCCTCATGAAATTACTCACTCTGACCCTTTTCTCTGTGTTGATCCAGGATGAGTCATTTGTAGCCTTCCCTCTAGCCTCTACTAGCTGCTCTTTGAGCTAAAATACCTATTTTCTTCTTTGAGAAAGGGAGTTTGGGTTTTCAGACTCACTGCAGGGGATCTCTGAAAAGGCTTCTTTCCACATTGAAAGGGAAGGTGAATATAGAAATGATGTGAAGTTGTATTTCAATCTTGGAAAACTGTGGCAATTTGGTGACCAGATAGCTATCAGCAAAGAGACCATAAATCTTTCAGTGATGTTGTTTTCTTCAAGAAGATGTTGACTGCAAAGAGGCATTATGAATATATGGACATTAGAAAACTAATTCATCTAAACTCAAACATCATTTCTTCCTCCAAAAGAACCCATCAGTAGGATTCATGTGGAAATGATCTGAGACATGATTTATAGTTCCATAGTCATGATTAAAAAATGCATCACAGAATGTTAAAATTTAAAGATTACTAAATATGGTAATATTTATTGCTATACTGACCATGAGTATACTCCCAACAGGTCAGAAATTATGGGACCATAATCAATGCAGAAAAATCCTCAGGTATAAACAGGCATCCTCTCAACATCAGAAAATTTATCCTGGGGAGAAATGTTATGAATGTGCCAAATTTGGAAAGATCATCACCCAGAAGTCACAGTTTAATATCCATCTGAAAGTGCATACAGGAGAAAATCTCTATGTATATACTAAATGTGGGAAATCTTTTGTACAGAAGCCAGAATTCATTACACATCAGAAAACCCATACTAGAGACAAGCTGTACAAATGCAATGAATGTGGAAAATTATTTTTCCAAGTATCTTCTCTCTTCAGGCATCATAGAATTAATACCAGAGAAAATCTCTATGAATGCAGTGAATGCGGGAGAGGCTTCCCTTATAACTCAGATCTCAGTATACATGAGAAAATTCATACTGGAGAGAGACACTCTGAATGCAGAGATTGTGGCAAAGCCTTCGCACAAAAGTCCACCCTCAAGATACGTGAGGAAATTCATACAAGTGAGGGATCCTATATATGTATTGAATGTGGACAGGCCTTCATACAGAAGACACAATTGATTGCACATCAAAGAATTCATTCTGGAGAAAAACCATATGAATGTAGTAAATGTGGGCAGTCTTTCATTTCCAAGTCACAACTTCAGGTACATCAACAAATTCACACAAGAGTGAAGCCCTATGTAAGTACCAAATATGGGAAAGTCTTCAATAATAGTTCCCACCTCATTACACGTGAGAAAGTTAAAATTAGGGAGAAATTCTTCATATGTACTGAATGTGGAAAGGCTTTTACCTACAGGTCAGAGTTGATTATACATCAGAGAATTCACACTGGAGAGAAGCCTTATGAATGCAGTGACTGTGGAAAAGCCTTCACACAGAAGTCAACACTCACAGTGCATCGGAGAATTCATACAGGAGAAAAATCATATGTGTGCATGAAATGTGGGCTAGCCTTTATCCGGAAGGCACGCTTGGTTGCACATCGAAGAATTCATACTGGAGAGAAACCTTATGAATGTGGTCAGTGTGGGAAATTCTTTACTTCCAAGTCACAACTCCATGTGCATAAACGAATTCACACAGGAGAAAAACCCTATACATGCAGTAAATGTGGGAAGGCATTCAGTGACAGATCCAATCTCATTAAGCATCAGAAAACTCACACAGGAGAGAAGTCCTATATATGTTCTAAATGTGGAAAGACCTTCACTCAAAGGTCAGAGCTGATTACACATCAGAGAATCCATACTGGAGAGAAACCTTATGAATGCAATACCTGTGGAAAAGCCTTCACGCAGAAGTCATACCTCAGTATACACCAGAAAATTCATAGTGGAGAGAGACGATATGAATGCCATGAATGTGGGAAAGCTTTCAACCAGAAATCACCATTAACTGTGCATCAGAGAATCCACACTGGAGAGAAACCTTATGAATGCAATGATTGTGGGAAACCTTTTACCTCCAAGCCTCAGCTCCTGGTGCATCAACCAGTTCACACAGGAGAGAAACCATACGTGTGTGCTGAGTGTGGGAAAGCCTTTAGCGGCAGGTCAAATCTCTATAAACATCAGAAAAGTCATACTGGAGAAAAGCCCTACATCTGTTCTGAATGTGGGAAGACCTTCAGACAGAAGTCAGAGTTGATTACGCATTATAGAATTCACACTGGAGAGAAACCTTATGAATGCAGTGATTGTGGGAAACCCTTCACCTCCAAGCTCCTGGTGCACCAGCCAGTTCACACAGGAGAGAAACCCTATGTGTGTGCTGAGTGTGGGAAAGCCTTTAGCGGCAGGTCAAATCTCTATAAACACCAGAAAACTCACACCGGAGAAAAGCCTTACATTTGTTCTGAATGTGGGAAGACCTTTAGACAGAAGTCAGAGTTGATTACACATCACAGAATTCATACTGGGGAGAAACCTTATAAATGCAGTGATTGTGGGAAATCTTTTATTAACAAATCAAAACTACATGAGCATCAGCGAATTCACACAGGAGAGAAGCCTTATGTGTGTGCTGAGTGTGGGAAGGCCTTTACCAATAAGTCAAATTTGAATAAACACCAGAGAAGACACAGAGGAGAGAAACCCTACCAGTGTTCCATCTGTGGGAAAGGTTTCTTTCAGAAGTCAGTGCTCAATGTACATCAGAGCATTCACTCTTGAGAGCAACAATGTGAGAAAACCTCACCAAGGACAGATGTGCTTGTACATTACTGAATCCATACAGCAGAAAAATATGTATTATTGTAATCAGAAATGCTCACATCTCAATCTCACACATTACTGTTCAGAAGATGACATCTCAGAAGGCACCGAATGAAGCAAAGGATGCTTCCCACATTCTCAAGCTCAATAAACCTTGAGGCATTTATACTGAGAAGGAACTGAGTTGAGTGCATTAGAAAAAGCTGCTCATGAAAACTGTGATGGAACACTTTTACTGAGTTATTAATAAGAAAAATTATATTGTTATGTTAATGATAATCCTGTTTTCTGTGGAATTGGTTCAGTGCCAATAAATTGAATGGTAAAACAACATAATATGACAGTGATACAGATACCATTCCTTACTCCTGCCTAGCTTCCAGGAGCTAAAGCTGCCCTCTAACTGCACATGTAGGGTCAAGGAGCTATGCTCATATTATGATGACCAACAGGATTGTTAAGGGATGAATTCCTGAAGACTTCTGGAGCAGGGTCCCTATCAGGTAGTGTTGGGCTGTGGGCTAGGACCTCCAGTGGGTCAAGTAGTTGATTCATCAGTTAGTACCCGGCCAGACTGAAAACGTAAGATTGGGAACTTAGAAATTGCCATAGTATTTCCCCTCCAGCCTTCATTGGTGGTGTGCATGTGACTCTTCCTTGTGACTCAGAGAGTGGGACTGCTTGTGAGCTTTTGGGCTATTTGGCTCCCTGAGGGGCTTCAGAGCCTGAAGCAAAGCCCATAGCCAGAGTAGCTGCCTGTGTGAGTGGAGGGATGAATGGGGCTTGTGCATTAGAGCTGTTTTTCCTATAGTCTGCATTCCTGCTTTTGCTCTTTTCCCTGCGTTGTGTTTGGCTGTGTGGCTGGCTGGCTGTGATTTTTCCTTGCTGTTTTTATTTGCTTTTGTTAAGGTGGGTGTGAGTTTGTAGGTTTCTTGGAACTGGTATGTATAGAATGCCCCTCTCCATCCTGACATGCACCTCTCCAAAAACAAGAAAACCAAAATCCTCATTATGAATTCATTTTAGACATACAGAAGAAGAGTTAAAAGAGGACAAGGAAGGTACTTTATAATTCCAATTTCCCTATTCCCCTCACGTTGACATCTTACGTCACCATCATACAATGACTAAGAGCAGCGGAGTAAATTTGGGACAGTATTACCAACTAAACTGTAGATTTTAATGGCAAATTCACCAGTTTTTTTTTACTCGGGTCCTTTTTCTCCTTCGGGATCTACATTGCAGTTGGGAGTGATTTCTCCTCAGTTGCCTCCAGCCTTTCATGTTTCATCAGTTTGTCTTGTTTTTCATGACTTTGATGACATTTATTTTGTGAAAGTATTATGAGGAAGCAACGTTTCCCAATTATAGAATGATGCAGTTCCTTGGTATCAATTATACTAGTTTTTCCCTCTTTGACATGTATTTCTTCATTATTGGGCATGTATGATTATGGTAGAGTTCTCGGTTTATATGCTTTTTGCCCACAAGACATTTTTGTTTCAATGGCAAATCATATGCCATATGATTTCCATATGCTGTAGTTCGAATGTGCCCCTCAGAATTCATATGTTGGAATCTTAATCCCCAAGGCAACAGTGTTAGGAAGTGGGGACTAATGGGAGGTATTTACCTCATGAGGGAAAATCTCTCATGAATAGATTAATGCCATTATAAAAAGAGCTGTGGGAGTGAGTTTGTTCTCTTGCACTCTTTGCCCTTCTGCCTTTGGCCATGTGATGACACAGCAAGAAGGCCCTCGCCAGATGCTGACACCTTCATCTTGGACTTCCTAGCCTCTGAAACTGTGAGAAAATAAATTTCTGTTCTTTAGAAATTACCCAGTCTGTGGCATTCTTTTATAGCAGCACAAAACAGACTAAGATACCATACAAGGTCATATATCCAATCATGGCTGTCCTTTGCCTTCTAGTTCATGTTTTCTCTTCTTTTCACTTTCCTTTTCATTCTTGATTAATGACAAATTTCTGCTGAGCTATGTGTTATTGCCTACATGCACTTAATCTTCTGGCATCTACTGTCTGCATTTAGAAATTGGTCCTTGGAGGTCCTTGGTGTACTGGTTGGTGCTTGAAGAGTTCTCTGTTTTTTTCTCTACAAGCTTCTAAGGTCTTGTGTTGGCTTTCAACACATGTCCTCTTGAGGTCCTAGTTAGTTTTCTTTATTGTTAGCTTCCTTGCAGTAAAGTCTTCCTTAAAACATGGCTTGGGTTATTGTGGGGCTAGGAATGTCCAAATATCGCCTCTGACTTACTTTCTTCACCTTCAGAATCCCATTTCCACATGTTACACTGAATTTTCTATACATTGGGCTTGTATTTGTTCTTCGCTATTTTTGATTATTTCCTCCATGTATTATAATTTATTGTCATATTTGAGTAGCTTAACTTTTTAAATTTATCTGTGTCTACTCTGTTCTAAAACCCATCTATTCAGTTGTTGGCTTTGGTTAGCTGTATGTTGTAGACATAACTTCTGTGTTCTCTTTTTCTTAAATTCATAGAAGAGTTGCCATTCCCTATATAACTGAAATTCCTTCTTTGACTTTTACCTGTATTTGGTTTTGTAGCCCTCTTGTGTTGACAATTAACCATGTTTCAGTAAATTTACATAAAATAAATGGACACCTTTTACATTTGAAATCTAAAGAGTTTTGGCAAATGTACCTGTAAGTGGGTTTTGGCCATAACAAAAACATCAAGATTGGGATATGAGTGGGTGGAACAAGGAAATCCTTTGAAGAAATTGTCAAAGTCTTAAGAGCCTTGAAGAAACTGATTTTTCCTAATTATGTTACCATTAATCATGACTATAACAATGCCATTATTATCACCATTGTAAAGACGAAAAGTATTAAATATAAGGAAGAAAGAATCGAAATAAATAGTCCAAGTACACACAGATGATACCTGTCTGAGCTTATATATCAGACGAAGATACCATCAAAGTCTAGACTTTTGGCATGTAACTGCCAAGCTATTCCCACTGTTTCCCATAAGACTCCCAAGGGCCTTGCCCTGAAACAGACTCAGGCAGGAAAACCTCAAAATAAACTTAATTCTCATTATCATTGTTGACTATCTTTTCTCTATAAAACCCTCTCTTTTGACCCAAACCACATTGTATCCAAACACAGTCACCTGCCATGCATGACACCCTCTCACAACAAAGGCCTAATACTACAAGACTGAGACAAGCAGCTCCTCACTTGCTTGTTTTCAGAATCAGGTCTGTGCAGCAGATCAAGGATATTTGCCATCTGGTTTCATGGCAGCATCATCTCATCCTGAACAAAATACTGTCTGAAATCAAGGCCATAACATTTTCTTCCACGAGGAAGAATATCCTTTAAAGACAGAAAGCCAAGGAAAATTTTCCAAATCAGTATGTTCGAACAAGGTGGGTGAGGATGGGGCACTGGGCAAGGTCTTCCATCATGAAACCCCATCCACAGTCCCCATCCTTCACTGCACAAGACAGACCTGGGATATACGTCTGGAAGCACGTAGTTGGGAGAGGTAAGCAAGTGCTACTAGAAACTGAAAAAAGGACAGAAGAGACAAACCAGGGGGAAATTATACTGCCTTCACTGGAACTGTTTCAGGTGGGCAGAAGCCAAACTTTCCTGCTCGTAGGGCTGTTCTTGCAGAGATGTACAGGAGTGAAGGAGAAAGGCCTTAGGAGAATAGAGGGCTTTGTTAAAAGTAATTCAGATGAAGCCACCGCACAGCCTTCTCCGTGAGTACACAGAACAGGGCAGAGGAAGAGTAGCACCATCAGCCTTCCCTACTTTCTATAAAAAAAATTTCTGTCACATTGCAGCAACCTGAGTGTAGACTTTATCAGAGAGACACCTATAGTCATGAAAATCATAATAATAATGTTTTGGTCAATGACGGACCATATATACAATGGTCATTCCATAAAATTATAATACCACATTTTATTGTAGCTTTTCTATGTTTAGATATGTTAAGATACATAAATATTTACCGTTGTATTGCAATTGGTGAATACAGTACAATATTCCAAACAGTAACATGTACAGGTTTGTAGCCTAGGACCTATAGGCCATATACCACATAGCCTAGGTGTATATAGCCTAGGCTATATGATCTGGGTTTGTGTAAATATATACTGTTCTCACAATGAGCAAATCGTATAACAACACATTTCTCAGAATGTATCCCTGTCATTAAAAGCCACATAACTGTATTAAAAAAAACAGGAATTGCTCTAGGAATGCTCTTGGTAGTGGAACTGGCCCCAAGAAATAAGAAAAGGGCTGGCCAACATTTGTGCCTAGATCAGGAAAAGGCTCCTTTTATGGCCAGGGCCTACCTGGCTAGGCCCATGGACCTGAAGGAAAGGGTAATGAGAGGGCTTGAAAGTTTTCTGAGGTGGGAGTAGCTGGGACAAACATTCAAAATTTGCCAAAGTATACTTCAAAGACACAATGATATGAGGTTTGAAGACAAAAAAGAACTAAGAGAAAAGAAGAGTAACATGGAGACAAGATCCCTGTCTCAAACTCAAGTTTTACACTCACGTCCAGGATCCACATGGCAGTTGGGAGTGATTCCTTCTGCATGGCCCCAGGCTATACTATGTTCTCCATCTTTTATTGTCTTCCATATTTTTTGAGGCCTTGATTTGTATTTCCCTGTGTCAGTCTTATCAACAAGAAACATCTCTCAGTTGAGTAAAGACAATATTCTTTGGGATCCACTCCATTAGTGTTTTCTTCTCCACATATTTTTAATGACTGGACATGTGATTATCATGCAGTTCTGGGTTTCCATGCCTTCTGCCAACAATGGAACACTTGGTCTCAAAGCCCATTCAGATGGCTGCATGCTTCACATAGGATGAGAGGTAGCTGCTTTGCGTGGCCTTCACCTTCCAATAAAGTGTGTTTCATTTCATCTGCACTTTGCT